GGATGACGATGATCTCGTTTCCCCGGGGAGTGAATTCCACAGGCAGGAGGCCACCACTGAGAAGGCCCTGTACCTCGTCCCTGCCAAACTCATCTGTGACAAGGGCTGGGCGGAGAGCAGGGCCCCTCCAGAAGATCTTAAATTCCTAGGTGGGACGTAGAAGGAGATACGTTCGGACAAGTACGCTGGGCCGGTGCCGTATAGGGTTTTATAGGCTCAAACCCAGAACCTCAATCAGTGGCTGATACCAAATGAGAGACTTCCCCCTGGGCACACAGCAAACTGGGCGACTTGGAAGGCGCTGAGCAGACTGCGCTCTGGCACCACGAGATGCAGAGCCGACCTTAAGAAATGGGGCTACAAAGTGGAATCCACAACATGCGAGTGTGGAGAAGAGCAAACCACTGACCACCTGCTGCAATGCAACCTGAGCCCTACCACATGCACAATGGAGGACCTTCTTGCGGCAACACCAGGGGCACTCCAAGTGGCCAGATACTGGTCAAAGGACATTTAATCAACTACCAAGCTTGCAAATTTTGTGTTTTATCTGTTTGTTTCTTTGTTTTTAATGCAATACAGCTGTTTGGTTCACTGCTGTCACAATAAATAAATAAGCTTGTAAGAGCAGGGAGAATGGACGATTCCGGGAACAAGAACCAGATTCCTGTCTGGTTCGGGAAGTGCAGAAAATACGCTGCAGCATTTTATTGCAGGCCCCATGTGTAATTAGTATGCACTGCCTCCGCCATCTCTATTTATGAATTCCAACTCATGACATGCTATTATGTCTTGGATGTATGGTTCACATTTCTGATGGAGCCCATCATTAAAGAAAATCTATCATTGGATTGATGCACTGTACATCAAGGCTGCCTTGGAGACATACCTGATGCTATGCTAAGATATTAATTATTAAGCATCATTAACAATTACCTCTAGCATCTACATTAGGAAGTATTCTGGGGTGTGAGGAAGTGGGGGGAAATTTTGGCAAATGGAAAATACCTGGTGTTTCTGTCCAGCTCAGTTGGGTGATTCAAGTGGAGGATTTGTATACAGTTATAACAACAACAACAATAATCTTTATTTATAACCTCTCTATTTTCCCATCCAGTGCAACTGGAGGAAGTTGACCATGTAGTCACAGTGGAGGACCTAGAAAGAACATCGATATTTATAAAAATGCTCTGTGCGTAATGAGTACCTTAAAAACAAAAGAACCAATGAACGAAATCACACCAAATTTGGCAACAAAACGTCTCACAACACAAGGAATGGCCATCACTCAAAAAAAAATGATTTTGTCATTTGGGAGTTGTAGTTGCTGGGATTTATAGTTCACCTACAATCAAAGAGCATTCTGAACTCCACCAACGATGGAATTGAACCAAACTTGGCACACAGTTCTCCCATGACCAACAGAAAATATTGGAAGGGTTTGGTGGGCATTGTCCTTGGGTTTTGGAGTTGTAGTTCACCTACATCCAGAGAGCACTGTGGACTCAAACAATGATGGATCTGGACCAAACTTGTCACAAATACTCAATATGCCGAAATATAAGCACAGTTGCAGTTTGGGGAAAATAGACCTTGACATTTGGGAGTTGCAGTTACAGGGATTTATAGTTCACCTACAATCAAGGAGCATTCCAAACTCCACCAACAATGGAATTGGGCCAAGCATCCCACACAGAACCCCCATGGCCAACAGATGATACTGTGTTTTCTGGTGGTCTTTGGTGATCCTTCTGACACCTCCCTGGTGACCCCCCCCCGGGTCTTGACTTCCCAGGTTGAGAAATGCTGCCTTAAGGCCATCCAGTCCAACTCCCTTCACCAGGGCAAGAAAACATAATCAAAGCCCTCCTGACAAAGGGCCATCCAGCCATTCACACACACACACACATATATGTATATGACAGATGCAGTATCAAAGATTTGAAAGGGACCCCTAAAGAAGGACAATGATATGTTGCATGTTCCAGAGTAGGCAAACCAGACAATCTCCACATCAACACTGACTAAGAAACAGCAAGAAATACGGTTTACCCACAAGCAGAAAGACACTATATATATTAGAAACCAACACTTTCTCATTACTTTATTTTCCAGATCAACAGACAGGGCCACAGCAACGGCTGGCAGGGGACAGCTAGTTTGTAATAAAATCTGTGAAACCACAGAAGTCAAGACCAGCAATGTGGAGGGTCAACTGTACTTAACTTTCTTTGCCACCAACTGATAAGCAGCTGTTTTGTGCAGCGAAGCAACTCTTGCCCAGATCAATGAAAAAAAGAGTGTGCGGGGACACCGCAGGGAGAAAGCGGCAGCCTTTGCTAGGGAAAGAATCAACTCCCAGTGTTCTCAAATTAAACGGCTTATCAGACGGATTTGCCTGTTTGCTTGATCCTGGACAGAGCTGGGAGGAACAACTACTACACAGCTGAGCTGTTAAGGATGTTCTACTAAGGATGTTTTCGGACAATTGATCTGTCCCTACTTTGCTTATATGCTTGTTGTAGCTGTTGTAGTATACAAATTCTGCTAAAGACCGAACCATGCATTACACAGAATGTACTTTTTCTTGCTTAGATATTGATTCCTATGCTTTTAAATGCTGAGTCCTAGTAATTTCAAAGCTGTATATGATGATATGTGATACAGTATTTGTACTCTCCATGAAAAGGGGCCTGGGTGTGGCAAACAGGCACATCTAGTTCATTTTAAACTTGTGTTTAAAATAATTCATGTTCAGATCTTGCTTGCTTTGCTCTTTGAAGACATGCCAATTTGTCTGCTTGTAGAGCCAATAACTTGAAAACAGATTTGCTGTCCAGCCAGTAGGAGGTCAAACCTGAAGTTGAGGGAAAAACAACTTTGTGGTGGATGTATTAAAAAAGTTTGTGAAAAGCTTCTTAAATGATTTTTTAAAATTTGTTGTGTATTGCTTTGGGGAAAAGTGATTTATTTATTTATTTATCGTGTCAGGAGCAAACCAAACAGTTGTATTGCATTTTTAACAAACAAACAAACAAAACACAAAGTTTGCAAGCTTGGTAGTTGATTAAATGTCCTTTGACCAGTAGTTGGCCACTTGGAGTGCCTCTGGTGTTGCTGCAAGGAGGTCCTCCATTGTGCATGTGGCAGGGCTCAGGTTGCATTGCAGCAGGTGGTCTGTGGTTTGCTCTTCTCCACACTCGCATGTCGTGGATTCCACTTTGTAGCCCCATTTCTTGAGGTTGTCTCTGCATCTCGTGATGCCAGAGCGCAGTCTGTTCAGCGCCTTCCAAGTAGCCCAGTCTTCTTTGTGCCCGGGGTATCAGCCATGGACTGAGGTTCTGGGTTTGAGCCTGCCACTTTTGGACTCTCGCTTGCTGAGGTGTTCCAGCGAGTGTCTTCGTAGATCTTAGAAAACAATTTCTTGATTTAAGTCATTGGCGTGCTGGCTGATACCCAAACGGGGTGGGCCAGAGATGTCTCTGTCTTGGTCCTTTCACTATTGGTCGGCAGATGTCAGGTGGTGCAATACCGGCTAAGCAGTGTAATTTCTCCAGTGGTGTTGGGCGCAGACACCCCGTGATAATGCGGCATGTCTCATTAAGAGCCACATCCACTGTTTTAGCGTGGTGAGATGTGTTCCACACTGGGCATGCATACTCAGCAGCAGAGTAGCCAAGCGCAAGGGCAGATGTCTTCACTGTGTCTGGTTGTGATCCCCAGGTTGTGCCAGTCAGCTTTCGTATGATATTGTTTCTAGCGCCCACTTTTTGCTTGATATTCAGGCAGTGCTTCTTGTAGGTTAGGGCACAGTCCAGAGTGACTCCCAGGTATTTGGGTGCGCTGCAATGCTCCCGTGGAGTTCCTTCCTAGGTAATAATCCTCAGAGCTCGGGATGCTTGTCTGTTCTTAAGACGAAAAGCACATGTCTGTGTTTTAGATGGATTAGGGATTAGGGAAAAGTGATGACACAATTTCTTTTATTTATCAAAAGAGGAATTAATAGATGGTTAGAATAAAACTGAATAGGTTAGTCTAAATCAGTGGTTCCCAACCTGTGGTCCGTGGCAAGAACTAAGATCTGGTCCACGGTCTCACTGTTACTACACTGTTGCAACAAAACCCACTTATAATGCCGAGGCTGATAAAATATGGTTTTCTATGGGTGAGCAGATGGCGATTACTGGATGGAATATGTTCTGTATCAAAAACTAGAGCTGATGTGGTCTATCTAATGCAATTTTCTGAATCAGCGCCACAAATAACCAAACCGAATCTAAAGTTGACCAAAAACTGATTCCTAAACTTTCGGTACTAGTGTTGGAGAGTGGTCCCTGGTCTAGTGGTCCCTGATTAAAAAAAAAAAGGTTGGGAACCAGTGGTCTAAATGAATTGGTGTGGTTATGCTTCTTAAAGGTAAACGTAAAGGTTTTCCCCTTGACATTAAGTCTAGTCGAATCCAACTCTAGGAGTTGGTGCTCATCTCCATTTCTAAACTGAAGAGCCAGCATCGTCCATAGGCACCTCCATGGTCATATGGCCAGCATGACTAGATGGAGTTTGCATGTTCATTTTCCACAACCTTTGCGGGTTTATGATCCCACCAATTCTTTACTCCTGGCAGGTGGTCCTTGTGACATAAGTTCCAGTGAATCATCTGGGCCACAGAGTTGTGTCTTTGTTTGTTGTCCGTCTGTGTGATTTTCTTGCAACAGCTGAGGATATGGTCCATGGTTTCATCAGCTTCCTTGCACAAGGAAGCTTTATTATTATTATTATTATTATTAATTTGCATGTTTTTGAACTGCTACCTTGGCAGAAGCTGGGGCTAACAACAAGAGCTCATCCCCGCTCCCTGGATTCAAACTGTCGACCTTTCAGTCAGCAAGTTCAGCAGCTCAGCAGTTTAACCTGCTGCTCCACCGGGGGCTTCTTGCACTGGTATACCAGTGCTTCTTGCATTTGGTATAAATCAATATTTTCTGTTTACTTTTTTACAGTATGCAAGGATTTGGATACCTGATTCAGAACTGGTCTGGAAGTCAGCAGAACTTGTGAAAGATTATAAGCCAGGAGACAAAGTCCTCCATCTTCGACTTGAGGATGGCAAGGTACGTTTACTCTTCTTTACCGTTGACACGTTGTCACTGTGTGCATTATTATTTATTATTATTATTTACAGTATTTGTATACCGCTTTTCTCAGCCCGAGGGGGAGTCAAAGCGGTTTACACATAAGTAATGGCAAAATTCAATGCCAGTACAAACAATTACAATTATACACTACAATTAGACATAAATCAAGTTAAAAACAGTACATCCACAAGCAATAAAACAATCATTAAAACAATAAAACAGTCTTGTCTGTCAAGTCGCCTTTCTATTCATTGTCTTTCTGAAATGTTGCATACATTTGCTTCTACTGCCCAAAGGCCTGGTCCCAAAACCATGATTTTAATTTTTTTCTAAAAGCCAGGAGGGAGGGAGTGGATCTTCCCTCATTTGGGAGTGTGTTCCATAGGTGGGGGGCCACAGCCGAGAAGGCCCTACCTCTCGTCACCGCCAGACGATGGTTTCTAACTTATGGTGACCTTTAGAAAATATCACAGGATATTTTTTTACCAGATAGGTTCTGTGGGGGTTTGTTGTTGCCTTCCTCCAAGACTGAGAGAATGTGATTTGATGGGTTTCCATGGCTCAGTGTGGATTTGAACCCTAGTTGGCTGGTCTTCTAGTTGAACTTTCAACTAGGTGTCTCTGAAATCTCTACACTTCAAAGCAAGTGTTGCAATCCTATTTATTTGTTTACTGGTGTGTTTATATCTTACCTATGGTACATAATTTTCCAGGACAATGTAATATATTTAAAATAAATATAACAACAACAAAAAGTCAAAATACATATAGGGTACCCAACTGCATCTAACAGTGTCATGCTTTGAACAACCTTTTTGTATGCATTTAACTTTATCTGCTCTTGCCAGCTGGCTGAAGATATATTTGGGTATGTCTTTAACGTACACACTGTTCTTTAAATTTTAGGATCTTGACTACAGCCTCGATCCAAAGAAAAAGGACCTGCCGCCCTTGCGAAACCCTGATATACTTGTGGGAGAAAATGACCTGACAGCTCTCAGCTATCTCCATGAACCTGCTGTTCTCCATAACCTAAAAGTTCGGTTTATAGATTCAAAACTCATTTACACATATTGTGGTAAGCATATTGAAGTTTTTGTATATCATTCGCCATGTCAGAACACTACAGAAATACAAAGATGCTTGACAAAGTGTGCCTTGTCAGAGTGGATCTGCTCCGCTTTTGCTTCTTGAACAAGCCAACATGTATGCATTTACTCTTGATTTAAAATGGTCATCTGTTTACCTCTTTTCTATGTATAGGAAGAAGTAATTGCTGTAGTTTACAATGTACAATATTTTAAAAATCATGAAGTTTATGAAATGGATGCACAGTTGATCAGTCACTCAAGAAATGGGGCAATGTATTTATTTATTTACAGTATTTATATTCTGCCCTTCTCACCCCGCAGGGTACTAAGGGCGGATCACAATGCACATATACATGGCAAACATTGAAAGCCATAGACACACAACATATATAGACAGAGACACAGAGGCTATTTAACTTTCCATCTTCATGAGGTTATGCTATTTTGAATTCCAGCCACCGGGGGAGCTGTCACTTCACCATCCACTTGTGACACCATTGGAGTACTTCCTCATTCTTTTGTAGCTGCTGGAGAGTTTTATGGCGTCGTAAATTAGTTAAATTAGCCTCCCTGCATAAACGGTACCTAAATTTCCTACTTGACAGATGCAATTGTCTTTCGGGCTGCAAAAGAGAGTAAAATAACAAATGTAATAATAATAATAATAATAATAATAATAATAATAATTATAATAATTTCATTGGAACTTGTGCCACAAATACCATCTGCCTGCGACAAAGACCTGGTGGGATCACAAGCCGGAAAGAGTTACAGAGAATAAACACGTCAAACTCCTCTGGGACTTCCGGATTCAGATGGACAGAGTTTTGGAGCATAAGACTCCTGACATCACTATCGTGTTAAAAAACAAAGTATGGATCGTTGATGTTGCAATCCCAGATGACAGCAGAATTGAAGAGAAACAACTGGAAAAGCTGACACAATATGAGGATTTAAAGATCGAACTGCAAAGACTCTGGCACAAACCAGTAAAGGTGGTCCCAGTGGGGATGGGCACACTGGGTGCAGTGCCTAAAGACCTTGGCTTGCACTTAAACACAATCAGCGCTGACAAAATTACCATCTGCCAGCTGCAGAAGGCCACCTTACTGGGATGTGCATGCATTATTTGCCGATACATCACATAGTCCTACAAACTTGGGAAGTGTCCGACGTGTGATCCAATTCAACAGCCAGCAGAGTGACCTTGTTTGCTGTGGACTCATTTTGTTGTGTTTCAAATAATAATAATAATAATAATAATAATAATAATAATAATAATAATAATACATCACACAGTCCTAGACACTTGGGAAGTGCCCGATGTGTGATCCAATTCGACAGCCAGCAGAATGTCTGCTGTGGACTCATCTTGTTGTGTTTCAAATAATAATAATAATAATTAGAATAAATAGAATAAATAATAAATGTAATAATAACAACAATAAATAGATAAAATAATAAATGTAAAAATAATAATAATAATAGAGTAAAATAATGTACTAAATGTAATAACAATAAGAGTAAAATAATAAATATAATAAAAATAATAACAGAGTAAAATAATAAATAACCTTAACCTGAGTATAAAGCTATAGGGACTTTTTCAGCCTTAAAAAATAGCTGAAAAAATCAGCTTATACTATATACAGCAGAGGTCCTCAAACTAACGCCCGGGGGCCGGATGCGGCCCTCCAAGATAATTTACCCGGCCCTCGCTCAGGTCAACCTAAATCTGAAACAACTTGAAAACACACAACAACAACAACAATCCTATCTCATCAGCCAAAAGCAGACCCACACTTCCCATTGAAATACTAATACGTTTAAAATTGTTCTTCATTTTAATTATTGTATTGTTTTTAAGTGTCTTTTGCACTACAAATAAGATATGTGCAATGTGCATAGGAATTCATTCATGTTTTTTTTCCAAATTATAATCTGGCCCTCCAACAATTTGAGGGACTGTCATCTGGCCCTCTGTTTAAAAAGTTTGAGGACCCCTGATATACGGTATACTCATCCTTGGATAAGACATGCAGGGAGAACAAATGCAAAAAGTTCACCAAGTATTATGCTTGTCTTAACAAAAGCTGTTGGGAGGTGACAAGAGCCTTACTGACGGCTGACCTGAGCAACCTTAATGGGATCAGTCTGTGATTAGTCTACATTTACTCCACTTAACCATCCCTCCTATATTGGCCTGGCTAAGGCAGGCTTTATCTCTCTTGGTTTCAATTGCTTTCACAGGCTCAACATAGGAATGAATGTCTTGATCCTGTCAGTAAATGTTGTAGATGTGATTGTTTTTAAAATGCAGCCACATTTTAAACCCCTACAATAAATATACTTTGAAAATCCTCTGTCATGTTCTGCTGAACATTTTGAATTTGATATTTGCATAAGTTCAGAAATTTCTCTCGACTCCATCCTTTACAACCATTTCGGGAAATATTGAAGTTGTCTTACTCAATATATATATTCTATTTGCCCATGAAAAACCAGAAAGACTGGATCACTGGCATTTTCATCATTTGTGGTCTAGATAAGTATCTTAACAAAGACATAGAAATGCATGATAGCCAGATCTTTTTCACTGACGCTGGTAGCCTGAAGCTTACCTTGTCTAGCCAGTTAAATGTTAATCTGTAATCTGCTATACCGTATATACTCGAGTATAAGCCGACCCAAATATAAACTGAGGCACATAATTTTACCACCAAAAATGGGAAAACTTATTGACTTGAATATAAGTCGAGGGTGGGAAATGCAGCAGCTACTGGTAATACAAAATAAATCTAGATACCAATAAAATTACATTAATTGAGGAAACAGTAGGTTAAATGTTTTTCAATGTTTACATAAAACTGTAATTTAAAATAAGACTGACCAACTTTGATTAAACCATTATTCTAACCTTTTTCAGTGTCAATGTGCTTACGTATCCTTCCAATAATAATAATAATAGAGTAAAATAATAAATGTAATAACAACAATAATAAAGTAAAATAATAAATGTAATAACAACAATAATAAAGTAAAATAATAAATGTAATAATAATAATAGAGTAAAATAAATGTAATAAAATAGTAATAAATAATGCAAATGTAATAATACCAATAATAGAGGAAAATAATAAATGTAATAACAATAATAAAAAGAGTAAAATAAATGTAATAAAATAATAATAGAGTAGAATAATGCAAATGTAATAATGCCAATAATAGAGGAAAATAATAAATGTAATAACAATAATACTAAAGTAAAATAATAAATGTAAAAATAATAAACAGAGTAAAATAAATATAATAAAATAATAATAGAGTAAAATAATGCAAATGTAATAATACCAATAATAGAGGAAAATAATAAATGTAATAAAAATAATAATAATAACAGAGTAAAATAGTAAATAACTTTGACTCGAGTATAAGCCGAGGGCAGCTTTTTCAGGCTAAAAAAGGGGCTGAAAAACTAGGCTTATACTCGAGTATATACAGTAATTTAATAAAAGACTCCAACATCTTTATGTATTGAATAGAATTTACACCCCTGAGGTAGGAAGGCTATAATATTTAGTAACCTCTGGTTTAGCTGCATTGAGTACAAACAATACATCATTTTGGGGACTACTTTACATAGTCCTTCAGTAAGACCCTCATATCTGTGGGAGATACATTCCCAGCCAGACTGTGGTGCTGGAGGAAAGTTCTGAGAGTGCCTTGGACAGCAAGAAGATCCAACCAGTCCATCCTTCAGGAAAGAAAGCCCAGCTGCTCATTGGAGGGAAGGACGGTAGAGGCCAAGATGAAGTCCTTTGGCCACATCATGAGAAAAAAAGAAAGCTTAGAGAAGACGATGCTGGGGGAAATGGAAAGAAAAAGGAAGAGGGGCCAACCAAGGGCAAGATGGATGGATAGCATCCTTGAAGTGACTGGATTGACTCTGAAGGAGGAGCTGGGGGTCGTGACAGCTGACAGGGAGCTCTGGAGTGGGCTGGTCCATGAGGTCACCTAGAGAAGACAATGATGCTTGGGAAAATGGGAGGAAAAAGGAAGAGGGGCCGACCAAGGGCAAGATGGATGGATGGCATCTTTGAAGTGACTGGCTTGACTCTGAAGGAGRTGGGGGTGACCACGGCCGACAGGGAGCTCTGGCAGGGGATGGTCCATGAGGTCACCTAGAGAAGACAATGATGCTGGGGAAAATGGGAGGAAAAAGGAAGAGGGGCTGACCAAGGGCAAGATGGATSGATGGCATCCTTGAAGTGACTGGCTTGACTGTGAAGGAGCTGGGGGTGGCCACGGCTGACAGGGAGCTCTGGCGGGGGATGGTCCATGAGGTCACCTAGAGAAGACAATGATGCTGGGGAAAATGGAAGGAAAAAGGAAGAAGGGCTGACCAAGAGCAAGATGGATGGATGGCATCCTTGAAGTGAATAGATTGACTCTGAAGGAGGAGTTGGGGGTGGTGATGGCCGACAGGGAACTCTGTCCTGGGTTGGGCCAGGAGGTCACAAAGAATCGGAAGCAACTGCACAAGTAAACAACAACAATAAAGCAGCATAGTCTATGAAGAAACTGTTACAGATTATTCGTTCAAGATACAAACTGTCTGAAATGTTACTGAAGTTTTTAACCCTTGAGTAGAAATGTGCCTGTATCTTTAAATACATGTAAACAAAGCTTATGATCTTTAAAAGAAGTCTGCATGCATCATTGTCAGCTGAAAGCATCCAACAAAAAGAAAATATCTATATGCCCAGCAACCATCCATTACTAAATAAACTCTGCTACCCCGATTAGGTTGTGATCCTAACAGTTCATGATCCATTATCCCCAATAAGAGCACCATGGAGATGCAGTTCAACAGTTCCTAGAGAGCCATATGGACCCCTATCTTTTCTACATGGAGAAGTTCTGTAGAACCTGACTTCAGTTCTCCAGTTCTCCTTTCGTATTGCTGCTGAAATCTTCCACATGTCTCCTTATGCTCCTGATGAGCCTTGCTTTCTTTAAATCAATACTGTAATTTAGCAGAAAATAAACATTCCCTATCAAATATGTAAAAAAAAAATCTACCTGCATTGCTTTTTCCAATAATATCTTTTTTATTTTATTTTTCAGGCATAGTTTTGGTAGCTATAAATCCTTATGAACAGCTGCCCATCTATGGCGAAGACATCATCAATGCATACAGTGGCCAGAATATGGGGGATATGGACCCCCACATCTTTGCTGTGGCTGAGGAAGCATATAAACAGATGGCCAGGTTTGTGGGATTAGCAAATTCTTCATTCTTTTAAAAGGACATGTATTTATGTGTGTTTAATAAGACAGTGGCCAGGGTAGCACAGTGGATTAACTTGCTAATTGAAAGGTCAGCGGTTCAAATCCATCGACAGGGTGAACTCCTGCTGTTAGCCCCAGCTTCTGCCAACCTAGCAGTTCGAAAACATGCAAATGTGAGTAAATCAGTAGGTGCCGCTTCTGTGGGAAGGTAACGGTGCTCCATGCAGTCATGCTGGCCACATGGCCTTGGAGGTGTCTGCGGGCAATGCTGGCTCTTCGGCTTAGAAATGGAGATGAACACCACCTCTAGAGTCGGACACGACTAGACTTAATGTCAAGGGGAAACCTTTACCTAATAAGACAGTAACAGTGGGGGAAATAAACACTAGTAATGACTGCTTGACCTCTGTAATAAGGTGGAAAGTGAAATGAACCCATGACTATGTAAAACAGGTACAGGTAACTACAGATGAGGAAAGGATCAATTTTCATCCCTGTACTTTTGCACTGTTTTATTGTATTCTTACGTTTCATTTACTTTATTGCGATGTTTGTTTTTTGTTTTTGTTTTTATTTTGTTGAATGCACTACTGGGCTTGGCTTCGTGTAAGCCACCCCGAGTCCTCTTTGGGGAGATGGTGGCAGGGTATAAATGCAGTCTACTATTATATTATATTATATTATATTATATTATATTATATTATATTATATATTTTTTTTAAACATTGATATTCCGCCCTTCTCACCCTGACTCAGGGGACTCAGGGCGGAACACAGCATATACACGGCAAACATTCAATGCCGGGACACAGATTCACATACAATACATAAACATTAAAAAACATTTATCTCAATATTAAAATACACCATTTAAAACCGTCCTAGTCATCCGCGTCAAATCTAATTGGCCTGGTCATCTTTCCTATTGCCGCTTTATTGCCCTGTCCCGAAAGCTTGGTCCCACAGCCAAGTTTTACCATCCTTCTAAAGGACAGGAGGGAGGGGGCCGACCTGATCTCACCAGGAAGGGAGTTCCATAGCCGGGGAGCAGACCCGTAGCCAGGATGTTGTTTGGGGGGGGCTGAGTGTTTGGGGGGGGGGGGGCTGAGTCTGAGTGAAAGAGGGTCTAGCCTAGCAAACCTTTTGTATCATTACCCCAATACCCCCATGCATATGGGATATATTGAGCATGGTGATCAGATCATGATATGAATAAACATAACAGTTTAAATAATGTACCAGTAAGGCCTTCTCGCGGACCACCATCAGAATTTCGGGGGGGGGGAGGGCTGAAGCCCCCCGAGCCCCCCTCCCCTCTCGTCCCCACCAATTGCGCCTGTGACAATGGCGGGAAGGAAAGCAGGGCCTCCCCGGAGGATCTTAAATTTCCATGATGGTTCATAGAGGGAGATGCGTTCGGACAGGTAATTTGGGCCGGGGATGTTTAGGGCTTTATAGGCCAAAGCCAGCACTTTGAATTGTGCCCGGTAGCAAACTGACAGCCAGTGGAGCTGGCATAATATGGGAGGTGTGTGCTCGCATTATTATTATTACTTCACAAAAGTCCCAGATTACCTAAAACTGGGGCTGATTTTTCCCCTTTCCCTAAACCAGCTCGAAACTGCTGCAAATTACCACTTCCCCATTTTTTATTTTGGCGCCTGATGGAAAAATTGCTGCATTTTGCTGTCATTTTGGAGAATCTGGGAAGAATCAGATCCAAAAAAATGGGCAGTGATGTCTGAGAGGTTGGGGAATATTTATCCCTGACCTAAGGGAATATGTACTGGAAATCGCTCAGTGATCTGCTACGGATTCATCACAAGAGTATCTGGCTGCCGTCCCAAAGGAAGCGAGATTACATATGGTCAGTGCTGGATCCTAAAGTTCACATGAGGTATTCTGCGGGAAGCTGCTCACTGAGCATTAGCAGGAGGCTGCGACAGTGACCTCGAGGGAGTAATCCCTGCAGAATAACTTTCATTCTGCTGGCTCATCTTTCCGTCCAGAGTGCAGCCTGCCATGATTTTGCAGATATTGATGATGATTTCCAGCTGCACGTTTGCTTAGCACCATCGGAAGCGCTGGCTCACGAGCAGGAGCTCAGGCTGCACAATACAGCCTGAGAAGGGAAGGAGGGGGGTAACCTGCCAAATAAAAAGGCATACATACTATTCTGGAGAGTCTCTCTTAGTGTTCTTCAAATTGCCCTTTCGAGGCTTTATTTGAGCTTCTGGTACGTCAAGCAAAGATGGATTAGATTTGGCATTAAAAAGGGCATCGCTAGATTCTTGGCCGGCGTAATCCGTAGAAACCAGGAAGGTAAAATCTGGATTTGTGTCCAGTTGTGTCTCCAGTCCGCAGCGTTGCAGGAAGAACTGGTTTATATCAGGAGACGTGTCCTTAAATCCATTTACTAGTCATTTGCTCGTGGCCACAGACTGCTTATGTTTAAATTTTCGTGGTATTGATAACTAATGTTTTTCCTCCATGCGTCCATGAACCTTAAACATTGAGGAAGATTAACATATAATCTTAACATCCAGAGATATATAAACCCCACTTGTCTAGTTCCCAACAGACCTCACAATCTCTGAAGATGCCTGCCATAGATGTGGGTGAAATGTCAGGAAAGCATGCTTCTGGAACATGGTCATATAGCCCGGAAAACTCACAGCGACCCAAATTAACATATAGCTAATAAAAACTTCTGATAAATGCTCTCGAGTCATCCTTCTGAAGAAAGCTAGCACTGTTTCTACTATTCAGAGAAGTAGTCCCCGCTGCCCCATTTTGCTCAGTGGGAATATTAAATGTGCTGTATACAGCCTATTACAAGACCATCTGGCAAGTACTTGGCACAGGGAGACTCTATATAAGCAGAATAAGCTGGGGTTGTCTATTCTGCAGTGAATGTTAGGGCTGAACAAAAGCTCATTGTGCAGTGTGGAATCTCCCGATCCAGACTCAGAGGTCGTTATGACTTTCAGGACTGTTTTGGATTTTGTTTATCTATATAAATAAAAATGTAATGTTCGTTTGTGGGATTAACATAACTCAAAAACTGGACGAATTGACGCCAAATTGGGACACAAGACATCCATCAGACCAACAAGTGACCATCACTCATTAAAACACTGAAAAACACAGCAGAAGGGACTTAAAAAGCCAAAAAGCAAAAAGATGCTACAGCGCATGCACAAAAATGACTCCCCCAGGCAAACGAAACACACAATAGCATCTCCGACACTCTCTTCTGGACTACAGCTCCCAGCATCACCTAGACCAGACGCTTTAGGAGAAGAGGAGGATCCAAATGCACTCCTTCCAAGCTCCAAGCTTTCTTCTCCTTGGATTTCTTTGAGAGCATCCCAACCCCTGCATATTTCCAATTTCCTATTCCTAGACTGCAACTCCAAGCAACCCTATAGATAGATAAGATAGATAGATTAAATAGAGATAGGTAGGTAGATCGATCAGGAGGACTGCTGGGAGTTGTAGTCCCAGGAGAGGTAGAGAAGGGAGAAAGAGGAAGGGAAAGAAAAGGGGCGAAGGAAGGAAGGAGAGAATGAAAGAATAAAAGGGAAGGAAGAAGGGAAGGAAAGAAGGAGAGAAAGAAAGGAGAAGACAAAGAGGGAGGGAAGGTTGACCCCAGCAACCCATGATGGGTACAGCTAGTGGAGAAATAAATAAGCAATTGTTGCCCAAATGTTTGAAGAAGCTCTGAGATTTGGCCAGAAGAAGACCACAGCCAAAACACAGTTGGCTCCAAAAGGTGCCATGAGATTCATTCTCCCTTTTTTGCTTCATGAGACCAGTTTGGCTGATATAATGTTAGGGTTCACACTCTCTGTCAACATGGTAAGTCAGTTAGCTAATCATTTTTAAGAAGGAAAAATCACAGAGGTTGCAATCCACAGTGATAGGAGAAAGGAGAATATATTATAAAATCCTAGAATCCTAGAGTTGGAAGAGACCACATCCAGTCCAACCCCATTCTGCCAAGAAGCAGGAAAATTACATTCCAAGCAGCCTTGACAGATGGCCATCCAACCTCTGTTTAAAAGGCTCCAAAGAAGCAACTTGAGGGCAGAGAGTTCCACTGCTGAACAGCTCTCGCAGTCAGGAAGTTCTTCCTCATGTTCAAGTGGAATCTCCTTTCCTGTAGTTTGAAGCCATTGCTCCGCATCTTAGTATCTAGAGCAGCAAAAAACATACCTGTTCCCTCCTCCCTATGACTTCCCCTCACATATTTATACATGGCCCTCATAATCTCTCATCCTTCTCTTCTGAAGGCTGTACATGCCCTGCTCTTTCAGCCACTCCTCATAGGGTTTGTCCTCCAGACCATTGATCATTTGAATCACCCTCCTCTGGACACATTCCAGCTTAGAGTCAACATCTCCTTTCAATTGTGGTGCCCAGAATGGGACACAGTATTCAGGTAGTACTTCCCTGACCAATTCTACATTATTATTCTGGAAGCGCTTTATGTCTCCCCTTTGTGAGTAGGACTTCCACAGAAACTATTATCTAGAGTGGGAGAAGGGACGGGGGAACATTTTTTCAATGGCAGCAGAACAAAAATGAGTGACTACTTTTTAGATATTCGACTGTGTTCTTCCTTCAAAATATTTTCAGCTATTGTCATGTAAATAACCCCAAAACCTTAGCTCATCATCCTGAGTTCTACTGACAAACTGTAGAATACAAACTAGCAAAGTGTGCATTTCATCTATCACATTTCTTCATCCTCCTCTACCCTACGTTCGAATCTGTTATTGGCATCTGTTATTCTATCCATGCCATCCTGCTCTTCCGCTGGTGTAGCTATTTTTAATAGCCAACCGGCAGACTAAGCACTGTCTGATTCGCCATAATTTGCTTCATCTTCCTCTCCATTTCAGCTAAAAACACTGTTCCTAAAAGGCCTTTCACTGTCTTGCTAAGTGCTTCCTTCATAAATTGTCTGCTGAATCTTTAACTGTTCCCAACCCACTGTAATACGCTGCAATACAGGAAGAAAAGAGTCCTGTAATTTGGATTTACCAGAGGTCCTCCTGGTCAGTCGCAAGGCTGAACAAGGTATAGGGTTACTGTGCTGGTACAGCTGTACCAGGAGCTCCAACTTCTTTTTCTTTCTTTGAGTGTTTGCATGTATTTCAAGGTTCCATGCATTTTGCAATAAGGTGGCTTCCCTTGGTTTGCAATTATAGGGCCAATGACCCATCAATCATCATTAGGTTCTTTAGTTCTGCCCCTTTTTCTGGGTTTAGGAGGGGAAAAGCGGATATCTAGTTCAGTTCACACAGAGAAGCCTTTCGTACAGGACGTGAATCAGTTCCACCTGTAGAAAGTTTCGTCTTTTACAGCTTTTGCTGGGGGGAATTCAGTCCCACAGCTCTACAGAGAAGTATAGCCTTTGCTGGGGGGATCCAGTCCCACAGCTTTACAGCCAGCCTTCGCTGGGAATTGAAGACCTTCTTTCCTCTTTGAAATGTACAAAAGGACTCTGTTTGGTAAGGACCACTCGCGGCAGCCATAATGCAGTTTGGACTGGGGGTAGGGGCCCACGCCAGCAGAGCCTAATACAGATTGCCCAGGTAGAGGTCAAGGATTTCCCTAATAGTGAAAAAAAAAACAGTTCATGAAGATAGTTGCCTGTCCCTTGTGGACAAGATTAAGAAAGCCACCAGTTGATTCAAAGCCTTGAAGTATTTGTTTGGTTTATTGAAGACCTAAGCACTAATAAAAACTTTGTTAAACTTTCCAAGTTTCTAAAGACTTTGTTTAGGGAAATCTATAGGGCCTCTAATCCGAGGCACCCCTGGCGTCCCATTGGGCATACAGAACACGTCCTGTCTACAGACCTTTTCACAGGCCCAGCGCATGACAGCACAGTTACAGGCTGTGCTGGATGGGGTTACACTCCCCTTGAAGGCACAGGTTCGCAGCTTGGGGGTCCTCCTGGACTCATCACTGAGTTCAATAGCCAAAACAGAGATTTAAATGCAAAGGCAAAGTTTCCAAGATCCAAAGGCAAATAACACAAAGTATAATCCTTTAGCATTGGTTAAACAAGAATCCATGGCAGCATGACAAGGTCCCCCAAAATCAAGATCAAAACCAAAGTCCCAAAGAGCTAGAAGCTTTCCCCAAAAGCCAAGGTAATTTCAGAGAAGTTAACAGGGTATAAGCAACATTGCACTGACAAAGGATGGACTTCAATCGGATCGTTAAATATGTTTCCCTAGCATGAAAGCATTACGTTGACCTTAAACTTCCCGTTTGTTGGCAAGCCATGCACTTCGGCGTACCCTTAATTGCAAGCGGTCCTCCCTAATCAAATCACCATCTTCAAGGCCGGATAACTCATCATCCTGGGACTGGTCACCCTGGGAACCGAGAGGCACTGAACTCCCAGATGGAGCCGACTCTTCCATCTGCAGCTGTGAAGTTTCACTATCTTTATCTAAAACCACATTCCTTTCTCTGGGAAACAGAAATGCCGTCTCTTCTTCAGCATCAACACTGCCTCAATAACAGGGACATGTTCAGAAATCCGTAACCCATCATCCTCCCCGTCCTGAGGAAACTCAGGCTCAGAAAGCTCAGGCTCAAAATGAGCCACAACAAGGGGAGCTTTCGCACAATTAAAACTTGTGCACCAGCTGTGCCTGTACCTTGGGAAGTCAGACTTGGCCACAGTGGTCCACGCTCTCGTTACATCTAGGATAGACTACTGCAACGCACTCTACATGGGGTTGCTCGGAAGCTTCAGGTAGTCCAATGAGAGGTAGCCAAGTTAATAACTGGGGTGGCATACAGGGAGCACACAACTCCCATGTTACGCCAGCTCCACTGGCTGTCAGTTTGCTACCGGGCACAATTCAAAGTGCTGACTTTGGCCCATCAAGCCCTAAATGGCCCCGGCCCAAATTCCCTATTTGAATGCATCTCCCCCTATGAACCATTGCGGAGATTAAGATCCTCCGGGGAGGCCCTGCTTTCCGTCTCGCCATTGTCACAGCCGCAATTGGTGGGGATGAGAGACAGGGCCTTCGCGGTGATTGCTCCCCGGCTATAGAACTCCCTTTCTGGTGAGATCAGGTTGGCCCCCTCTCTCCTGTCCTTCAGAAGGATGGCCAAAACTTGGCTGTGGGACCAAGCTTTTGGGACAGGGCAATAAAGTGGCAATAGGAAAGACGACCAGGCCAATTAGATTGGACGTGGATGACTAGGAAGGAATGGTGCATTTTAATATTTTGATAAATGTTTTTAATGTTTATGTATGTATATAGGAATTTGTGTCCCGGCATTGAATGTTTGCCGTGTATATGCTGTGCTCCGCCCTGAGTTTCCTGAGTCGGGGTGAGAAGGGCGAAATATCAATGTTTTAAATAAATAAATAAGATAAAAAACGAGGGCCTGTAGACATTCAGGTTTATCCTTCCTTTAGGAGCCCCCAGGGTGCAATGGGTTAAACCAGTGTTTCTCCACCTTCCTAATGCCTTGACCCCTTAATCCAGTTCCTCATGTTGTGCTGACCCCCAACTATCACATTATTTTCATTGCTACTTCATAACTGGGGGAAAGAAGGGAAGCAAAGGAAGGAGGAGAGGAAGAGAAAAGGATAGAGAAACAGTAAGAGAGAAGGAGAAAAGGAAGAGAAAGAGAAGGAAAGGGGGAGAAAGAAGGGAAGCAAAGGAAGGAGGGGAGGAAGAGAAAAAAGATAGAAAAAGGGGGAGAAAGAGAGAGAAACAGCAAGAGAGAAAGACAAAAGGGGGAGAAAGAAGGGAAGCAAAGGAAGGAGGGGAGGAAGAGAAAAGGATAGAGAAACAGTAAGAGAGAAGGAGAAAAGGGAGAGAAAGAGAAGGAAAGGGGGAAAAGCAAAGAGAGGGAAAGGGGAGGAAGAGAGAAAGAATCTTTGGAATCGCCAAGTGTTCTCGGTTTATAGTTCCCAGAATCTTTGACCAGTGTTTGTATGCATGTCCGATGTGTTGTCAAAGGCATGTGTTGTTTGTATGTTCTCCCAAACTTAGGTAGTGTGTTAAAGATGAGTGGAATCCACACAAATACAAGTGAAACCATTTTTTTTCCATTTCAGAGATGAGCGGAACCAGTCGATCATTGTAAGCGGGGAATCAGGCGCTGGGAAAACAGTCTCTGCTAAATACGCCATGAGATATTTTGCCACTGTAAGCGGGTCTGCCAGTGAAGCTAACGTCGAAGAGAAAGTATTGGCTTCCAATCCCATCATGGAGGTAAGACCCGTTTGGGATTTTCACCCTTCTTTGTTGCTAGATCTGGATACTTTGTTTGTGTGCCAGGAGCGACTTGGGAAACTGCAAGTTCCTTTCGGTGTGAGAGAATTGGCCGTCTACAAGGACGTTGCCCAGGGGACGCCTGGATGTTTTACCATCCTATGGCAGGCTTCTCTCAGGTCACTGCATGGGAAGCTGGAGCTGACAGATGGGAGCTCACACCACTCCCTGGATTCAAACCACTGCTTTTTCATTCAGCAGTCCTGCCATCATAAGGGTTTAACCCATTGTGCCACTGGGGGCTCCATTATTTATATCTCAAGACTGATCCTTAGAGAAGGACATGTCGTTTGGACACACATTGTTTATATGCTTTGATGTTTTATTTTTTATTGTTTATGTTGTTTATTTTACTGCAATTTGTATTTTGTTTTGTAATTTGTTGTTCGGGCTTGGCCCCGTGTAAGCCGCTCCGAGTCCCCATTGGAGGAAATGGTGGCGGGGTATAAAAGATTATTATTATTATTATTATTATTATTATTATTATTATTATTATTATTATTATGTCGCTCTAATAGAGAGAAGGCTTCAGTCACCTGGAATTCCCCCCAGAAAGTTGGCTGAAAAGGCACTTGCCCTCTGAATAAATAGGAAGCAGATAGTAGAGGAAGTTAAGAACAGTGTTTTTCTTAAATATTATTTTTAAAAATCTAATTTCCCCCTTATGCATCTTAATTGTTTTTTTTTTATTCTAACTACTTTAACGTTCAGTGGTTCTACTCCAACTGGAAAGAGCAGTTAGGATTTAGCCACAACATCCACTGATCAGCTACTAATGACTTAAATCACTTTGCTTTACTTCCTTTACCTTTCTTTTAACTTTTTTCTTATTTCAAGAATTTCTTGAAACACAAACAAAAGAGGAGATGGCCTTATTCAAGATAGTACAACTTTGGTACAGGTGATTTTGGTGGTATTCAGAGAGAAGGTAATTCTGCCTGGTTTGCTGTGTTGTGTGGAGTTTCAAAGCAATATTAGCAAATGCTTCTCAGTGCCAAGTGAACTATCCAATAGATAAATATATTTCTGCCTTGAGTGTAAAGTTGCCTAGGGGTGATTGCTGATCTATCGTGCTATTGTGATTGAGAACTAAGAGGTCACTGGGATCTATTGTGATGGTGCATTTTATGTAGTTTGCAAACTGCCATTAATATATCCTGTTATCTCATTGCAACAATGTGAAATGTATTCTTAGTGATAAGATGTTTTGTTTTGCAACTGTTTTTTGCTAAGTAACTTTGACATCTGAGGGGGATTGTTGATGTGTTTTGAAATAGTGTAATGTAGTTTTCAAAGTTAGTGTTTGTATGTTTAGAATGTAATACTATTGAGGGGGTGTTTTTGGCTATTGCACAGTTACAATACTGCCAAAGGTGTCTCCCCAAAGGAGATTCATCAGAGAATGCAAGCTGTTTATGCCGATTTTGTTGATGTGAGTACTGTGTGTAGGTGGGCGAGTAAGTTTAAATCTGGAGGGGGTTGATTTGAGAAGAGGCTGGCATGCATACGTATGGTACGGAAAAACGAAAGTAGAAAAAAAATCAGAAATATTTTATCAGAGAGGACGTTATAAAAATATGGGACAAATACAAAGATAGATTTTATAGCCAAACACCCCTATGAGTTTCCCCGCTAGAATCCTGCCAAAGAAGAGAACTAGGTTGGATAATTTGGCCCCAATACAAAGAAATAATTTAAAAAGTAGGCAAAGAAATAACCCTAAAAACACAACAGGAAATAAAAAATTCATACCCAAACACAACCTGGTTTCAATATAGGCAGATTCAAGAACATTTTACTAAAGATAAAAAATTGGGATTCATGACAGAAGAAAATAGTTGGGATAGATTAATGAGGACAGAGAAAAAAACAATATCCATAATATACAAAAAATTATTAGAATGGAGCACAGAAGAAGGAGTCAAAGAATGTATGATAAAATGGGCAAAAAATATAGGAAGATCTATAGAATTAGAAGAATGGGAGATTATATGGACCAAGAAATTAAAGTACACGCGTGCCTACGACCTAAAAGAAAATTGGACAAAAATGTTCCATAGATGGCATATGACACCACATAAACTAGGGAGTTATTATAAGAACATAAACTCAAAGTGTTGGAAATGTGGAGAAGTAGAAGGGACCTTCTACCATATGTGGTGGCAGTGCAAAAAAGCAAAAGATTATTGGGGGGAAAACACAGGAAAGATTACAAAAAATACTGAAGATTAATATCCCACTTGAACCTGAAATATTTCTATCGGGAATTACAGATAAAAAACCAAGAGCAATATAGACAAACTTCTCTTCCTCTCCACAACTGCTGCTAGAATTTGCTATGTGAGATTATGGCGAAAAAAGGAAACACCCACAAATGATGATTGGAACAAAAAAATTATGGATATAAAAAACATGGACAGGCTAAGTTACTTATTTCAAAAATAGAAAGGGAAAATAGAAAAAGTGACAGATCGGACATCAATAAATGAGTATTGTAAATAAGATATTAAAAGTAGAAACATGAAGAATTATAGAACTGCATAGCAAACACTTAAAATATGTATATATACATAAATAAACAAAAGAAGAAGAGAAATGGGGGGGAAAAGGAAGAAGGAATAAAGGACTGAAAACCTACTGAAGAAGGAAAAGGAAGAAACCCTTCTTGAAGTATCCTGGAAGTTGGACCGAAGGAAACAGCATCTTTTGTTTTGTTTTGTTTTACTCTTTCTCTTTCTCTCCCTTTCTCTTTTTTTCCTTTTTCTTTCTTTCTATCTCGTTCCTCCGACTTTCTATTCTATCTAGTTTTAAATTCTTTTGTAAGAATTTTTTCTCTTTTTAAATTTATCTGTCTTTTAAATAATATGTGTTATGAAAATATCTAATAAAGATTATTTTTTAAAAAAGATGTTGAGGTGGGAACATCTCACTTGCGTGACACACAAAGACTTGGATGTCCTGTGACAGCAACCACCGAGTTTCACAAGCAAAAGGTTGACAGATTGATTCAGGATGATCATCATATCACTCAGAGAGAAATTTCAAGCACAATCGGCATTTCACAAGAACATGTGGTTCACATTATTGCTTTGCTTAGCTGTCGGAAGATCTGTGCATGATGGGTACCCAGGATGCTGATGCCTGAAATGAAAGCGCACAGACTTGAAACTTCAGAGACTGGATCTCATCACCATACGACATCCTCCATACAGTCCAGATTTAGCACTGCCTGACTTCCATCTATTCCTAATAATGAAAGAAGATCTGCGGGGACATCATTCTGCTTCTGATGAAGACGTTGAGAGAACTGTAAGATGCTGGTTGCGGAAACAGAGTGTGGACTTCTTCCGTGACGGCTTCAGAAAAATTGTTCATTGTTGATAGAAATATATCCAATTGTCTGGTGATTATTGTTGAAGCTGTTTGCAATTTATAATGTAGATTTCAAAGTATGTATGTATGTATGTATGTATTTTTAAAATGCAGTAGCTATGTGCCGAGTATAATGTATTCCTGTGTGAAAGAATTAACTGAACCATGGAGGGAACGGCATTCCTAGAGAGGTCATGAATCAAGTGTATAGAATAAATGGACCTCATACGTCACTCTGGAATGCAAGAGGTGTGGACTAGTACTGATAACAGTTAGTGTGTTCGCAATGTTACAGTTAGATGGTAAAGAAGCAAGTTTACGATGCGCTGAGTGTTAAGTAGCTTCTAATGTATAGAGCTGTAAAATAAAGTAGTTTATAGCCTAAGGTGGCTGTGATTGATCTGTTACTGCCTTGCTGTGCTGCCGATGTCACTGACAATTGTGTGGAAAAATAATTAGTGGGAGTTAAAGAGCACATTCTAAAGATTATTTCTGCGTTTGATTTATTAAAATATTCTCATCCAAACCCAGTAACAAAGGTAGAGGCATTACTTTTCATTCAACCCTTGTAGATGTATCAAAATGTTTATCTGTATCTTAATATTTGCACTCCTTAATTAGGAGCACAAGTCTTTGCATGTCTATTCATATGGAAACCCTACGAAGTTCAATGTGAATTCCTTCCAGTTGTATACGATTGTGACCTTCAAGTTATTTTAATGAATTTGTTTGCTCGATTAATAGCAAAATAACACAGCCTGAGTGAAAATCCATGCTTGCAGGGATTGTATTACTAATTTGCCATTTTGCAGTTTCAGGGAACACTTCGTAAAAGTTATTGCTGGCTTCTGAAGACTGTTCAACCTTTTCTGTGTTCTTTCTCCTCCCGCAGTCCATTGGGAATGCCAAAACCACACGGAATGATAACAGCAGTCGCTTTGGGAAGTACATTGAGATAGGTTTCGATAAGCGGTATCGAATTACTGGCGCTAACATGAGAACGTACCTCCTAGAAAAGTCAAGAGTGGTCTTCCAGGTAAAATGAATATAAGCTTAGCTTCTATAGTCCTGTATAAGGTGAAAATGTATGACCTTGCTGGCCTTTTGCAAGGTCTCAGTGGGAAAACAACTGTCTGGTTGCTCCTGACATGATAAATAAATAAGTGGGAAAACAGTGGTGGTGGTGGCAGCATGGTGCTTCCATCTCTCCTTGGAAAGAATCTGAGAAGCCTTGTGCTGAGCTCCCAAATTTTCCCGTAGAGCAGTCCTGCACAACATGAAGCCCTCCAGTGTTCTGGACTTCAACTCCCAGAATTCCTTCCTGACCATTGAACAACCTGGCTAAGACTTCTAGGAACTGGAAGCCCAAATACCCGGAGGGCTGCATGTTATGCAGGCCTGCCTTAGAGTTATTTATTATTCATTTATTTCTGACATTTACATTCTGCCCTTCTCACCCGGAAGGGGACTCAGAGCGGCTTACAAGTTATATGTACATACAATATATTATATTATTAACATAACACGATATTAATATTATATATTACTATATTGTACTATACCACTACATGTTTTTTTATATCTATATATATATGTGTGTGTGTGTGTGTATGTGTATGTAATGTTCGTTTGTGGGATTAACATAACTGAAAAACCACTGGGCGAATTGACACCAAAATTGGACACAATACACCTATCAGGTCAACGAGTGACCATTACCCCTAAAACACACATAAAAAACCCCCTGCCGAACAGACTTTAAACCCCCCCCCAAAAAAAACTATGTATACATATACACATACAGTCATATACATATACACAGGCATACATACATACAGACACACACACATATATATACGCTAGCACACACAAATATACACATATACACACATACATATACACCTACACATATATACATACACACATATATGCATATATACAAGCACACACATATACACAATATACATATGCATATGCACACATACATACATACAGACACACAAATATACACATACACACATACATGTATCCCTACACACATATACATATACAGATACATATACACACATATCCACACAAGCACATACATATACACAATATACATATAAACACAGAAATATACATATACATACAAACACACACACACACAAATATGGACATATACAAACACATACATGCACACATATATACACACATTTATGCATATACACAAGCACACACATATACACAATATACATATACACATTTAAACACAGAAATACACAAATACACATATACATACACACATATATACACACAAAATACATATACACAGACTGGGCCACAGCAACGCGTGGCAGGAGACAGCTAGTATATTATATTATATTATATTACATTATATTTATTATTAGAATAGCACAGGAGACTAGATGGAACTGTCCCTTGGCCTTCCCTCTCTTCACTCTGGCCCAGAGCGGCAGTTGTTTTATTGCTATTGTTTTAACTCTGTATGTATTTATGATTTTATACTGTGTTATTGATTTGTGGCATCGAATTGCTGCCTTTGTTAGCCACTCTGAGCCCCCCCCCCCCCGGGGGGGGGGGTTGAGAAGGGCAGGGTAAAAATGCTGAAAATAAAATAAAATAAATAAAAATAAATGTGATGCAGTTGTTTGTTCTCTGTTATTCCAGGGGTAAGATTGCAGACTTTGACAAAACTTTGGGAGAAGCCATTACATATCAAATGTGTCCTTAATGTTTTATCTCTTCTTTGTTTGTATTCAAGGCCGACGAAGAGAGAAATTACCATATCTTTTATCAGCTTTGCGCTTCTGCAGCATCGCCGGAATTTAAAACGTTGCGGTTAGGTATGGATTTGCATTTGCATTTGGATCTATCGCATTATATTTCCGCCATAGCATGCACCAAAATATTACATTGTGATTTGCATCTATTATGGAATGACTCTTCCATAATAGATACAGGAAAATTGCATTCAAAGCACTCCCGACAGATGGCCATCCAGCCTTTGTTTAAAAGCTTCCAAAGAAGGAGCCTCCACCACACTCTGGGGCAGAGAGTTCCACTGCTGAACAGCTCTCACAGTCATAGAATTATAGAATCCTAGAGTTGGAAGAGACCTCGTGGGCCATCCAGTCCAACCCCTTTCTGCCAAGAAGCAGGAAAATTGTATTCAAAACATCCCCGACAGATGGCCATCCATCATCTGTTTAAAAGCTTCCAAAGAAGGAGCCTACACCACACTCTGGGGCAGAGAGTTCCACTACTGAACAGCTCTCACAGTCATAGAATTATAGAATCCTAGAGTTGGAAGAGACCTCATGGGCCATCCAGTCCAACCCCATTCTGCCAAGAAGCAGGAAAATTGTATTCAAAACACCCCCGACAGATGGCCATCCAGCCTCTGTTTCAAAGCTTCCAAAGAAGGAGCCTCCATCACACTCCGGGGCAGAGAGTTCCACTACTGAACGGCTCTCACAGTCAGGAAGTTCTTCCTCATGTTCAGATGGAATCTCCTTTCCTGTAGTTTGTATCCTTCGTTAAAGGATAAACACCCCCACCCCCTAGATAGCCTTTGGAGGCATTTTTGTGGGTGTGTGTGTGTCTTGGGAGGTATGGCAGGAGATTCAGTCCTCCACTTTCTAGGACAGTGTTTCTCAACCTTCCTAATGACATGGTGGAGGCTTCCCCTTTGGAAGCTTTTAAACAGGCTGGATGGCCATCTGTCAGGGGTGCTTTGAATGCAATTTTCCTGCTTCTTGGCAGAATGGGATTGGACTGGATGGCCCATGAGGTCTCTTCCAACTCTATGATTCTATGACCCCTTAATACAGTTCCACATGATATGGTGACCCCCAACCATAAATTTATCATCATTGCTTCTTCATAACTGTAATTTTGCTACTGTTATGAATCGTCATGTAAATATCTGATATGCAGGATGTATTTTCATTCACTGGACCAAATTTGGCACAAATACTCAATACGCCCAAATTTGAATACTGGTAGGGTTGCAGAGGGGGGATTGATTTTGTCGTTTGGGAGTTGTAGTTGCTGGGATTTATAGTTCACCTACAATCAAAGAGCATTCTGAACTCCACCAATGATAGATTTGGGGCAAACTTCCCACACAGAGCCCCCATGACCAACAGAAAATACTGCATGGGTTTAGTGGACATTGACCTTGAGTTTTGGAGTTGTAGTTCACCTATATCCATTGTTTTAGTGCTACTGAGGACAAAAAAATGATGGATCTGGATCAACCTTGGCTTGAATACTCAGCATGCCCAAATGTGAGCACTGGTGGAGTTTGGGGAAAATACACTTTGGCATTTGGGAGTTGTATAGTTGTTGGAATTTATAGTTCACCTACAATCAAAGAGCATTCTGAACTCCACCAACGATACAATTGGGCCAAACTTCCCACACACAGAACCCCCATGACCAACAGAAAATATTGGAAGGGTTTGTTGGCCATTGAACTTGAGTTTTGGAGTTGTAGTTCACCTACCTCCAGAGAGTACTGAGGACTCAAACAATGATGTATCTGGGCCAAACTTGGCACAAATACTCAATATGCCCAAATGTGAACACTAGTGGGGTTTGGGGAAAATACACTTTGACATTTGGGAGTTGTAGTTGCTGGGATTTATAGTTCCCCTACAATCAAAGAGCATTTTGAACACCACGAATGATAGAATTGGGCCAAACTTCCCACACAGAATCCTCATGATCAACAGAAAATACTGTGCTTTCTAGACTTTGCCAACCCCTCTGGCACCCCCGATGTGACCCCCCCGGGGGGTCCCGACCCCCAGGTTGAGAAACACTGTTCTAGGATGTATTTTTGTAATGTGACAGTTGTTCTGTTCTATTTCTCAAACAGGGAATGCAGACTATTTTCACTATACAAAGCAAGGCGGCAGCCCAGTGATCGATGGTGTTGATGATGCGAAGGAGATGACAAACACGAGGCGTGCGTGCACATTGTTAGGTAAGTCCCAGAAATTTCAGGAGCACATGCTTTGCTTCAGGGTTTGATGTTGCTAAACCATTTACAGCTTGCATGGGCAAACTTTGGCCCTCCAGGTGTTTTGGACTTCAGTAGGCTGTTAGGAATTGTGGGAGTTGAAATCCAAAACACCTGGAGGGCCAAAGTTTGCTTATGCCTAGCTTAGATAGTTCACAATTCCCGATAGCTTACTGACTGGGTTACTCTGAGTTTTCCAGGCTGTATCATTATGTTCCAGAAGCATTCTCTCCTGGTGTTTCTCCCACATCTATGGCAGGCATCATCAGAGGTTGAGGGGTCTGTTGGAAACTAGGCAAGTGAGACTTATATATCTGTGGAATGTCTAGGGTGGGAGAAAGAACTCTTGTCTGCTGGAGGCAGGTGTGAATGTCGCAGTTGGTCAGCTTGATTGCCATCAAATGGCCTTGCAGCTTCAAAACCTTGCTGGTTGTTGCCTGGGGATCCTTTGTTGAGAGGTGTTAGCTGGCACAGATTGATTGTTGTCTGGAATTCCCCTGCTTTTTGAGTTTGCTCTTTATATGCTGCCCTAATTGAACTCCCTCTGTCAGCTCCAGCTGTCCGTGCGGGGACGTGAGAGAAGCCTCCCACAAGGAAACAGCAAAACATCCCGGCGTCCCTTGGGCAACATCCTTACAGACAGCCAATTCTTTCACACCAGAAGTGACTTGTAGTTTCTCAAGTTGCTCCCGACACCAAATAAATCAATAAATAAACAAATGCTTAAGGAGGGATTTTGGTAGAATTGCAGGTTCTCGCTCACTTTTTTTTTTTTTTTTTTTTGCACCGGGATTGTGGTGCCGCTGGCTGGAAGTCAGCTGCATTAAGATCATGACTGATTGAAAGGTCATAACTTTGAAGCCAGCCCGGGTCGGAGTGAACTTCCGACCAAAATTGTGTAGCTTGTTGCCGACCTTTGCAGCCTGAAAGACAGTTGCATCTGTCAGGTAGGAAATTTAGGTACCACTTATGTGGAGAAGCTAATTTAACTGTTTTAGGAGGCCATAAACATCTCCAGGAAGTATGCAAAGAATGAGGAAATACTTCATCAGTGTCACAAACGGACAGTGAAGCGACAGCTCCCCTGGTGGCCAGAATACCCTCATGAAAAGCTGGAATGTTACATTGTCTCTCTGTGTGTCTATATATGTTGTGTGTCTATGGCATTGAATGTTTGCCATGTATATGTACATTGTAATCCACTCTGAGTCCCCTGCAGGGTGAGAAGGGCGGAATATAAATACTGTAAATAAAATAAATAAATAAATTTGATGTCAGAAGCGACTTGAGAAACCAACTCTCTTCTGGTGTGAGGGAATTGGCTGTCTGCAGGGACGTTCCTCAAGGGACGTTGGATGTGTTACTATCCTGTGGGTGGCTTCTCTCATGTCTTCACATTAGAAGCTGGGGCTGACAGACGGGAGCTCAACCCATCTTTCAGATTCAAACTGTCAACCTTCAGGTTAGCAGTTCAGCTGGCACAAGAGTTTAACTTTTGCTTTTGGTTGCAGGCACCATGGTGTGCTGGTTGTTAGCCGCCCTGAGTCCCTCTGCGGAGGTCGAGATAGGACAGAATGCAAAAAATCCGAAATAATAATAATAATACAACTGCAAAAGGCCACCTTACTTGGATTTGCGCGCATCATTCAGAAATACATCACACAATCCTAGACGCTTGGGAAGTGTTTGATTTGTGATTTTGTGATACGAAATCCAGTATAGAGATCTCGTTTTCTCTGACATACTGTGCTTTTGTGTCAATTATAATTGCGAAGACTCTGGCACAAGCCAGTCAAGGTGGTCATCGGCACACTGGGTGTAGTGCCTAAAGACCTTGGCCTGCACTTAAACACAATCGGTGCTGACAAGATTACCATCTGCCAGCTGCAAAAGGCCACCTTACTGGGATCTGCACGCATTATTTGCCGATACATCACACAGTCCTAGACACTTGGAAAGGGTCTGATGTGTGATCCAATGCAACAGCCAGCAGAGTGTCTGCTGTGGACTCATCTTGTTGTGTTTCAAATAATAATAATAATAATAATTTATTTTTTAATTTTAATTTTTTTAATTTTTAATTTTAAATGTTTCAATTTTTTTTAAAAAAGTGTGGTGATGAGCACAATGCGTGCAATGCCCAAGACCTTGGCCTGCACTTAAACACAATTGGTGCTGACAAAATTGCCAGCTGGGATCTGCACGCATTATTCGCCGATACATCACACAGTCTTAGACACTTGGGAAGTGTCCAACGTGTGATCCAATTCAACAGCCAGCAGAGTGTCTGCTGTGGACTCATCTTGTTGTGTTTCAAATAATAATAATAATAATAATAATAATAATAATAATAATAATAATAAACCCATTGTGCCACCACGGCTCCTGAGATATACGTTGGAGGTGGCACACCCTTCACTCTGTGTCATCTTTGCAATGAGCTTGCTCTGCATGGTTCTTCTTTTTATCCTAACACGTGGAATCTTTTGTTTGTGACAGGGATTGTTGATTCCTGCCAGATGGGAATTTTTCAAATCCTTGCTGCTATTCTTCACCTGGGCAATGTAGCGTTTCAGTCTCGTGATTCTGACAGCTGTGTAATACCAGTAAGTCTCAAATAAGTTTAAGGATTCTCTTCTGTTGTATCATTTCTTCCTTGTTTATTATTGCTTTTTTTGTAATACGTGCAGTGCAAAGATGCAAACAGTTTCCATTTCCTTGTTGCTTTTGCCTTTTTTCTTTTGGATCTCGGGGTCAAGTCACTTCCCCCCCTTTTTTCTTCAAAGTGATTGGTTTGATTTCAGAATTGACATCATGTGTATTTTCGGAAAGACCATCTAGAAAGCACAACTAATTTGTGTTCTGATGGCCGGAAAACAATAATCTTGTGATACTTCAGGAAGCTGTGGAGACATTGTGTCCTCTAGATGTGAGAAAAATGGGTCTCGACTAAGTCCAAAAACCAACCATGCATAAAGTCATCCGGTTCCCAAGGCTTCCACAAATACATGAGATCAGTCTTCAGAAATAAAGACAACTGTAATGATGTCAACCCTTTTACCTACGAGGGTTGAATGAAAAGTAATGCCTCCACCTTCATAACTCCTCGACAGATGGCAGTACTGGCATGTGGCAGGTACTGGCTTGTTCAGTAGACTCTCCTTTACAGTTCCATTTTGGCGGGAAGCCTTAGCAGAAAAAGTAATGCTTCCACCTTCGTAACTCCTCAACAGATGGCAGTACTGGCATGTGGCAGATACTGGCTTGTTCAGTAGACTCTCCTGTTGTGCTGTTAAAGTGCAAAGTATGGAACCCTGCGCAGACAGTCAGTCAATGCGACTTAAGCAACATGCTGTCATTGAATTCTTGACCACAGAAGGTGTCACCCCAAAGGAGATTAATCAGAGAATGCAAGCTGTTTATGGTGATTGTGTTGATGTGAGTGCTGCGTGTCATTGGACAAGTAAGTTTAAAGATGTTGAGGTGACACCTTTTGCTGTAAAGAATTCAATGACTGCACGTTGCTTAAGTCGCATTAACCGACCGTCTGCGTAGGGTTCCATAGTTCGCACTTTAACAACACAACCATTCAATGCTAACGCTTCCTGTCAAAATTGAAGTGTAGAGGAGGGTCTACTGATCAAGCCAGTACCTACCGCATACATTGCTTAAGTCGCATTGATCGACCGTCTGCGCAGGGTTCCATACTTCACATTTAACAACACAACCGTTCAATGCTAAGGCTTCCCGCCAAAATGGAACTGTAGAAGAGAGTCTACTAAACAAGCATACCAGGACTGCCATCTGTTCAGGAGTTACGAAGGTGGAGGCATTACTTTTCATTCAGCCCTCGTACATTCTCCATGCAAACTCAAATCTAAGCTATGACTGAGGGCTCTTTGCCCAAATGGTAGTGTGAAGTAGGTGATGGTGAATATTGTTTTGAAAGGTGTTTGTTGTCGTTGTAGCCGAAACACGAACCTCTCAAGATTTTCTGCGAGCTCATGGGAGTGGAGTATGACCAAATGGCTCACTGGCTCTGCCATAAGAAACTCGCCACTGCCACAGAGACGTACATCAAGCCCATTTCCAAGCTGCAAGCCATCAATGGCAGAGATGCTCTTGCCAAACACATCTATGCCAATCTCTTTAACTGGATTGTCGATCACGTGAACAAAGCCCTCCATTCTCCCATGAAACAGCATTCGTTTATTGGTGTGCTGGACATTTACGGGTGAGTTTTTTCTATCTGTGTTCCTTGATATTTGACACGATAAAGTGAGTTGTAATGCAAATTTTATTAAACCTTTACAAGCTAAGTATATGCAGGGAATGCTGTAGATGGAGCGTATCTGGATTTCAGGAAGGCCTTCCTTCAACAAGGTCCCCCATGACCTGGCAAGGAAACTAGTAATGGCATCCTGAAGTTACTACGCTTTTATGTCTTGCCCTATGTAGACATAAAGATGCCAACTGTCCCTTTTTTTCAGGTTTGAAACATTTGAGATCAACAGCTTTGAACAGTTTTGTATCAACTATGCCAATGAGAAACTGCAGCAACAGTTCAATATGGTAAGAGGGGAAATCCTTTGGGCTTTGCTCTCCCTCAGTGTCCATTCCTCCYGTGATGAACTCTTTATATACGCAAGTAGAATTACCGTATATTCCGGCATATAAGACGACTGGGCGTATAAGACGACCCCCAACTTTTCCAGTTAAAATATAGAGTTTGGGATATGCTCGCCGTATAAGACTACCCATCTTCCAACGCACACCAAATAAAAATTTTAAAAGCATCAGATTTGATTTCAYTATMGTAATTTTCCTATTACTGTACCTCTGTTGTGACTGTCGCATCTCAGWGTAGAATCACCTTGCTTATGACCCCAAAGAACACATCAGCAGTAGTCTTTGTAGTTTTATTAAAAGAAAAGGTTCAAAAAGCAAAAGTATATTTCAAAAGATCAATCCAAGGTAACATAGGCAAACAAGATCCATGAAGGCATAGGCAAGGCAAGGTCCCATGAGAACATGACGAAGTCCTGAAACATGAGAATGAAAAGCTGCAAGATAAATCCAAAGTCTCTTGGTTGAAGCAAGAAGTTGCTCTGACACTGAGGCACATTCAAACAGTCTGTTTAATATTCTTGGGCCAGCATGAAGGCGTTGCTATGGCCTTGGGCCTCTCTCTCTTGCCTCCCTGACACTCCTTCGCACTTTCAATTCCAAGTGATCAGCCCTATCTAAGCTGCCACCCCCATCGAGGTCAAATCCCTCGTTAGCTGGCTCAGAACGATCCTCCCTTTCTGCATCCTCCCTTTCTGCATCAGGTATCTGGCTCTCACTCTCAGTAGTTTCACTTTCCCCAGCGTAAAACCTTGCTGTGGGAAACAACTGAACTCCTGCCCTCTGGTCCTGGTCTTCCTTGTCTAACACAGGAACATCCTTGCATTGCATCTGACTGAATCTGAGTCTCTTCATCCCCAGAATCACTGACACCATCACTCTGTGATTCCAGCTGAATCACAACAGTGACTCAGCTGGAACCACAGACACAGACTGATAGTGTTGTGACTCGGATGGGGTCTCAGAGTGACTCTGACGAGGATGATGGGATTCAGGTTCACAGTCAGGTTCAAAATGCTCCTGTTGTAGACAATGAGGAACAGGGTGTGCAAGTTCAGTTTCCCACAGCAGGGAATGATGTTTTTGATACTCAAACCAGCGAGGTGCAAATTGACCCAGAAAAGGAGGACAGTTCTCAGCCTCATAGTAAGCAGGAAGGCAACCAGGCTGACACTAATGAGCAGCCTGACCTTGATGAAATGGGCATCTTAGATTGGGCTGACCGTTTGGAATTCAGAGTTCGAAGGAGTGTGAGAATAGCCAACAAGAAGGAGGTCAGAGGCCAAAGAAATGCTTTCATGTATTGCAAAGGGTATTAAATAGTGTGTTTGAAAACAAACCTTTGTCAGAGCAACTTCTCGCTCAACCAAGCAGCTTGTGCTCGTCTGCCTGGATTATACAGTTCTTGTGTCCATGGTCTTGGGATTTTGTCATGTTCTCATGGGACTTTATTTCGTTGGTGCCTCTTGGAATCCTGCTTTATAGTGCTATGTTTTATTGATCTTTGGAACATTACTTGCTTTTTAAAACTTTTCATCTTTTATTTTTTAATAAACTACAAAGGCTTCAGTCTGTGTGCAGTTCTGGTGATTTCAGCAAAGTGAATCCATTCTGAGGTGCAACAACCTCCTTCTCTTCCTCTCAGATCTTGTACCTGAGCACCTGCTTCACTGCAGTCTTCAGGAGCGAGATCTGAGAGGCAGAGGAGGAGGTACGGTAATAGGACACAAGGGCGGGCCAGACAGGTAAAAGAGGTGGTGTGTTTTCCTGGGCCCAGAGCCACTCTATCTCTTTTTCCCACACCCCGGGCGCCGCAGACGCTTGCAGCTTGCTCTGCCCTTCACTTACACCTTTCCGGTGAGGCGCCCCTTCCCCTCTCCATTGGGACCGCATTAAGTCCACAAATCCTGATGAATGGATTTTCTTCTACCATATTTTGTGGCTCAGCAGGAGCCTCAGGAAGAGCTGGAAGAGGATGATGGGTATCAGATTCCTAAACATGTTCCTATTTTTGATACAGACGATGTTGATGCTGAAGATGAGTCCAGTTTCCCATGGGAAGGGATGTTGTTTTAGAAGATGTTTCTGATCTTAGTGGAACTTCGCAGGTGCAGGCGGAGGAGGCAAGTCAGCCTGGCAGCAGCTCTCTGCCTGTCTATTCTGTTAATTCCCAGCTCCAGGATAATGGGTTATTTGACCTTGAAGGCTCTGCAGATTTAGATAGGCAGGATCACTTGCAATTCAGGGTTTGCCGTAGTACAAGGCTTGCAAACAAGAGAGAGGTCAGAGGTCAGAGGATGCTTTCATGCTGGGAAAGTATATTTAGTGTGCTGATTGAAGGCATCCTTTTGTCAGTGCAGTGAAACACCCCGATAACTTCTTTGGATTGCCTGGGCTTTTAGGCCATGCTTTTGGCTTCTTGGGACTTTGATGTGGATCTTGGCTTCTTGGGACTCTGTCATACTGCCATGGAATCTTGTTTGATCCATGCTTATGGATTATGCTTCATGTTATTTGCCTTTGGACTTTGGAAACTCTGCCTTTGCATTTAAGACCCTGTTGGACTATTGAATTCCTGCAACTTTGCTTTTATGTTTAAGACTTTGCCTTTTCTTTAATAAACTACAAAACCTACAGCCTTGGTGTGTGTGGTGTTCTGAGCAAGGTAAATCTACCCTGAGGTGCGACACCGTACTTGTACAGTGACGCCCTTAATGTTTTCATACAGTTGCTGCATAAGGCAGGAACGTAGCCACTGCCATTTTTAACTCCCCCCCCCCCCACAATATGCAGCAACCACAGATTCTCCAATCAGGATTGGAAGTTTCAGCACCCGCTCTATAAGACGACTCCCAGCGTATAAGACTACTTCCACATATAAGACGACCCCTGACTTTTAAGAAGATTTTCTTGGATTAAAAAATAGTCTTATATGCCAGAATATACGGTACATTACCTTGCCTGCTGTTCCCTCCTTGCCTTCTTTCCCAAAAGATTGCTCTTTTATTGTCATTTACTGCATGCAGATTCCATGATAAACCTGCATGCAAGATATATGCGTACCGCCTTGAGTCACCTTCAGGCTTGAGAAAGACGGGATAGAAATATCTATATAAATAAAAATGTAATGTTCTTTTGTGGGATTAACAGAACTCAAAAACCACTGGAGGAATTGACACCAAATTTGGACACAAGACACCTAACAACCCAATGTATGTCCTTCACTTATTAAAAACACCGAAAAACATAGCAGAAGGGACTTAAAAAGCCCCAAAAACCTAAATGACAAAAAGTTAAATGACAATACAGAAAAAAGGGAGGGAAGGGGAGAAAGAAAAAAGAAAGAAAGAAAGAAAGAAAGAAAGAAAGAAAAGAAAGAGGGAAGGAGGGAAAGAAAGAAAGAAGGAAGGAAAGGGAGAAGGAAGCATGGAAGCAAAGAGAGAAGGAAGGAAAGAGGTAGAGAAGGAAGAGAGAAAGGGGGGGAAAGAAAAAGGGGGAAGGAAGGAGAGAAAGAAAGAAAAAAGGGAAAGAAGGAAGGAAAGAGGGAGCAAAGGAAGGGGGGAAGATGTAGAGAGAGGGAGGGAAGGAAGAGAAGAAGAAAAGAGAGACAGCAGAAGAGAAAAAGGGGGGAAAGGAAGGAAAGAGAAGGGAAGAAGAGAAGAAAGAGGAAGGAAGGAAGGAAAGAGGGAGTGAGAGAAGGAATGAAAGAAGGAAAGAGGGAAGGTTGGCCACAGCAACGTGTGGCATTCATAAATAAATAAATATCTCATTTCTTAATCTTTGCACATGACTTCGGAAATATTAGTATAATTTTTCAGCCATTGTCTTTTGTATCCCTTGGAATAGCTGAGTTTCCAGTCGCAGAAACCTGCTTTTGTAGCTGACTATTGTGAAAAGATTGTCCACTCGTGTGTCTTATCTAGTAAATTCTTGGCTTTGATTTTAATTGTGTATAATTTACATTAACGTAGCAAGCATGTTTCAGCGTTGTTTATGGTAATAATTTCAGTTTTCCCCCCTATCCTTTAGCATGTATTTAAGCTAGAGCAAGAAGAATATATGAGGGAAGAAATTCCATGGACCTTGATTGATTTCTATGACAATCAGCCCTGCATTAACCTCATTGAGGCCAAATTGGGAATTCTGGATTTATTAGATGAAGAATGTAAGGTAAGAGTTCGAATGATCTAAATGCTATGTTCCATGGGTTGCTGTGAATTTTCTGGGCTGTATGGCCATGTTGCAGAAGCATTCTCTCCTGATGTTTCTCCCACATCTATGGTAGGCATCCTCAGAAGTTGTGAGGTGTGTTGGAAACAAGGCAAGTGGGGTTTATATATATGTGGAATAATGTCCAGGGTGGGAAAAAGCACTTTTGACTGTTTGAAGCAAGTGTGAATGTTGCCATTGGCCACCTTGATTAGCATTGGCCTTGCAGATTCAAAACCTGGCAGTTTCCTGCCTAGGGGAATTCTTTGTTGAAAGATTTTAGCTGGCCCTGATTGTTTCCTGTCTGGAATTCCCCACCCTGGACATTCCACAGATATATAAACACCACTTGCCTAGTTTTGAACAGACCTCACAATCTCTGAGGATGCCTGCCATAGATGAGGGCGAAACGTCAGGAGATAATGCTTCTGGAACATGGCCATACAGCCTGGAAAATTCACAGCAACCCAGTGATTCCAGCCATGAAAGCCTTGTATTCCATGGTTTGTTGGTCTTCCATTCTCCACTGTCTGGGAATGGGGAGCGTCAAGGTTGTCTGGAATGTTAGCATTTGAATTTTGCATGTATTATCAGTTACATGGTTGTAAAAACATTTCTATTTGCTGACCCTCCATTTTGCCATCTTTCAGTGCGCTTGTCCACAATCATAACTTTTTGTGGGGCGCATTAATATTGTTTTTTCCTTTCACTTTACTGATTATAATATTGTTAAATGAATGCATGGTTGGATATACAATTGAGCTTTTCTTCAACTTCAGTGGGGGTTTTTTGTTGACAATCTCAGTGGGTACACTGTATTGGGACTACCAATTGAGTTCAGATTTAAAAGGTTTCAGCAACAGACGCTATATATCCAGTTCTAGGGAGGGAAAACTCTAGTGGGAGTGACTTTTATATTATTGTCATCTGGTTCAATGTGTTGGATGCAGCCAAAGTGGAATCTGTTATTGGGTAGCATGAAAGATCCTAACTTTTAGTTTTCTGAAATAGATGTATTTTCCCCTGTTTATGTTATCTCATGAGAGGAAGAAATGTATTGTGCATATCAGTTCAGTCTTAGAACAAGAATGGGGAAGTGCACCCAAGGGGCATTTAGAGATGTATTTATTTACCCAAGTAAAAGGCACAGCCATTTGGGTCCAGCCTCAAAATGGCAAACAAAATAGTCCAATGTGGGCTCAGCAAAACTACAGTGAGGTGGATCTGAAATTGGTTAGGTGGACAAACGCAAGGGGTGATTCTCCCCAAGGCTTTCTCCTCTTCATCCTGGAAAGAAGTGACGAGCGGAGTGCCATCATCAGGGCTCCCTCCTGGGCCCGGTCCTGCTCACGATCTTCATTCATGACTTAGATGAAGGCTTAGAAGGCATGATCATCAAGTTTGCAGATGACACCAAATTGGGAGGGAGAGCCAATACTCCAGAGGACAGGAGCAGAATTCAAAACGATCTTAACGAATTAGAGAGATGATTGGCCAAAACTAACACAATGACTGCTCATGGGAGGGAAGAATAGTAGAAGCCAAGATGAAATCCTTTGTCCACATCATGAGAAGAAAGGAAAGCTTAGAGAAGACAATGATACTGGGGAAAATGGGAGGAAAAAGGAAGACAGGCTGACCAAGGGCAAGACAGATGGATGGTATCCTTGAAGTGACTGGATTGACCTTGAAGGAGCTGGGGGTGGTGACAGCCGACAGGGAGCTCTGGCGTGGACTGGTCCATGAAGCCACAAAGAGTCGGAAACGAGTGAACGAATGAACAACAAAAACACAATGAAGTTCAACAGGTACAAATGATGATGATGATGATGATGATGAAGGAGAAGGAGAAGGAGAAGAAGACAAGCAGTGGAACCCTCTGTCAAATTTGTTCCAGTGAATGAAAATCCATCCTGCATACCAGATATTTACATTACAATTCATAACAGTAGCAAAATTACAGTTGTGAAGTAGCAACGAAAATAATTTTATGGTTGGGAGTCACAACATGAGAAACTGTATTAAGGGGTCGTAGCATTAGGAAGGTTAAGAAATAGAAGTTGGAGGACTGAATCTCCTGCCATACCTCCCAAGACACAACACACTCTGGGCTCCAAAATGCCTCCAAAGGCTATCTAGGGGGTGGGGATGTTTATCCTTTAACAAAGGATACAAACTACAAGAAACGAGATTCCATCTGAACATGAGGAAGAACTTCCTGACTGTGAGAGCCGTTCAGCAGTGGAACTCTCTGCCCTGGAATGTGGTGGAGTCTCCTTCTTTGGAAGCTTTTAAACAGAGGCTGGATGACCATCTGTCGGGGGTGCTTTGAATGCAATTTTCCTGCTTCTTGCTAGAAAAGAGTTGGACTAGATGGCCCACGAGGTCTCTTCCAATGCTAGGATTCTATGAGTTTATGATTGACCCTGCCCTATTTTTTGAATGACAGGAATTGTTCAGACTGCAAAACATTTTAAAATTTCCTTTTCCTAGATGCCAAAAGGTTCAGATAATAGTTGGGCCCAGAAATTATACAATACGCATTTGAACAAGACGCTGCTTTTTGAGAAACCCCGCTTGTCAAACAAGGCCTTTATCATCCAACATTTTGCAGATAAGGTAGGAGTTTTCCTTCTCTTTCAGATATGGTAAATGCCCTCTCCCATGATCCTTGTCCATTGTTATCTTTGATGCTCAGCAGATCATGTGTGCTCTATCAGATACCAGTTATGAGCTGTTTAAAAGTA